TTACTTACCTCATACGCAGCTCATCTTAAACCAATAGAATCGCTCGGTGGACGAGAGTGTCTGACTCAGATATCTACCTCGGAGGGAGTTTCTGCTACTTTAGAGAATTATTGACTGGGCTTTGGGGTTGAACTTTTTTTTTTAAAGAAAGAAAAAAGAAACCCTGGGATCCATCTGTTTTTCTGTTGTTGCTGTTTTTTGTTGTTGTTGATGGTGGTGGTGGTTCTTAATTTTTAATTTAGTTTGGGGAAGTAGTTTTTTTTTATATAAATATGTTGATTTCTTGTCTTTTTTTATATCTTGCTTTCCCATATTAGGGGTGATAGCCAAAGGGGTCCTGGTAAGAGAAAGGGGGACAAACAGAACTGGTCAAGAGGCCCCCTGGCTCCAGGCCTGTCCATCAGGAAGTAAATTTTACAGGGCACCAAGGTTTGCCCCCTAAAATCACTTAGGTGTCTTTTACTCACACAGGCAGGTTTCTGCCACATTTGGTGTGGAGGCAGTGAAGGACTTGCCTGCTGGCCTCCCATCCCCCTTCTTCCCACAACCCTTGGGCAGGGCTGGACTCAATATTTTGAGGAAATTGAAGATACAGTCTTCCCCTGTGAGTGACATGTCTTTAATTTTTTTAAAAAAACGACTATTTGAAGATTGGAAGGGGAAGAATGGGACGGGAGTTATTGCCAAATATGTTAAATATGGGTTGGGGTGCTTGTGTATGTGTCTTCCTCAATTTCCCCAGAAATGAGGTATCTTTTTGTCACACCAAAATCAAGGGGTAGGGAGAGGGAGGAGGTTGCAGAAAGCCAGGTGTGGGGGAAGTAAAATCAACAGTCTCATCCTCAGCCCTGAACCCTACCATCTGATCCCCTCACACATTCTCAGGATTTTACAAGACTGTCAAGAGTGGGGCACCCCTCCCATTAAAGATCCGGGCAGGACTGGGGACAGGTTGGAAGTGTGATGGGTGGGGGGTGGGAGGCATGGGCCGGGGGCAGTTCTCTCCTCACTTGTAAACTTGTGTAGTTTCACAGAAAAAAAAAACAAAATGCAGTTTTAAATAAAGAAATTTCTTTTTTCCCTGGGTTTAGTTGAGAATTTTTTTCAAAAAAATGAGAAACCCCAGAAAAAAAATGATTTTCCTTCACAAAGCTCCAAACAGGTTTCTCCCCATCCCCCAGCCTTGCCTTCACTATGCAGGCCCCATTGCACCATTGCAAACAACAGCCTGGCCTGAACCCTATTGATGCAACCTTGCCCAGTCAAGATGGGGCTTCAGTGCATCACCAGGCAGCCATGAGGGACTGATGGAATAAATATGATGGGGGCTCTGAGGGAATGAGAGCCTAGAGGGTACACTCCCCATCCCCCAGGGAAGTGGCTGTGCCCAGAGGCTGGTAGTGCCCAGGGGTGGGGTGATAATTATTTCTCGAGTACCTGAAGGACTCTTGTCCCAAAGGCATGAATTCCTAGCATTCCCTGTGACAAGACTGAAAGATGGGGGCTGGAGAGAGGGTGTAGGCCCCACCTAGGGCGGTGGCCACAGCAGGCAGAGGGGCAGACAGAACCAGGAGCCTGGAAAGAAGCAGGATGGCAGCAGGAGCAGCAGTTGGAGCCTGGGTGCTGGTCCTCAGTCTGTGGGGTGAGCCACTCCCCGCATCCCACTGACCCTCCCTGCAGAAAGCACTTTAACTCCATGCCCCACTTGCCCTAGAACTTTTCCCAGAACCTGAGGAACTGCTTTTCAAGGTCCCTCACCCACCCTGTCCAAATTTCATTAGCCCTCATCTCCCTTCCTGCCCCTCTACCACGGTGCTGTCTCCCAGGAGCAGTAGTAGGTGCTCAAAACATCACAGCCCGGATCGGCGAGCCACTGGTGCTAAAGTGTAAAGGGGTCCCCAAGAAACCACCCCAGCAGCTGGAATGGAAACTGGTAAGCAGGGCTCCTGCTGCAGCCTCCCAACTTCCAGGGAGACCAGCAATGATTTGCATCCCCATCGCCCTGCCTCACAGTCGTTTCCTGAAGGCCTTGCACTGTTTAGGCCCCTCTTCTCTGCTTCCAGAACACAGGCCGGACAGAAGCTTGGAAGGTCCTGTCTCCCCAGGGAGGTCCCTGGGATAGTGTGGCTCGTGTCCTCCCAACGGCTCCCTCTTCCTTCCAGCAGTTGGGATTCAGGATGAGGGGATTTTCCGGTGCAGGGCAATGAACAGGAATGGAAAGGAGACCAAGTCCAACTACCGAGTCCGTGTCTACCGTAAGGATTCCAGGGCCTTCTCCAAGGCCCCCGTCTTATCTAAGAAAAAGCTTTCAACCCCAGCCTTGGCCCACAAGGGCCTCTGACTTCTGCTGGCCCCATTCCCACATACACAGTTTGAGAATCTTCACAGTTACAGCCTCTGATTGGATTTTTTTCTCCTTCAGAGATTCCTGGGAAGCCAGAAATTATAGATCCTGCCTCTGAACTTACGGCTGGTGTTCCCAATAAGGTAGCGGAAGAAAGCAGAAGTAAAAACCAGTCCTGTGAACAGGAGGGGAGTGGGTGTAGGTGTGGGTGTGTGGCATCTCTCATTTTCAAAGGACTCTGAGGTCACCACTCTTTCCCCAGGTGGGGACATGTGTGTCAGAGGGAAGCTACCCTGCAGGGACTCTTAGCTGGCACTTGGATGGGAAACCCCTGGTGCCTAATGAGAAGGGTGAGTCCTAAGGTGCCCCCCAAGCTGCCTTCTCCCTGATCTTGCTCCCACACCCACCCTGGGATAACCTGTCTTATCTTCCCACCATAGGAGTATCTGTGAAGGAACAGACCAGGAGACACCCTGAGACAGGGCTCTTCACACTGCATTCAGAGCTAATGGTGACCCCAGCCTGGGGAGGAGCTGCCCATCTCACCTTCTCCTGTAGCTTCAGCCCAGGCCTTCCCCGACGCCGGGCCTTGCACACAGCCCCCATCCAGCCCCGTGTCTGGGGTGAGCAGAGGTGGGGAGGGCTCCAAGCTCACATGAGCACATTCTGGAAGTCTGGCCCTCAGGGAAAGAGGGACAAGCCCATGGTCACTGGGATCACTCACAGGTGTAACTCTCCACCTCATAACCCTTCCAACTCCCAGAGCCTGTGCCTCCTGAGGAGACCCAATTGGTGGTGGAGCCAGAAGGTGGTGCAGTAGCTCCTGGCGGGACCGTAACCCTGACGTGTGATGTCCCTGCCCAGACCTCTCCTCAAATCCAATGGATGAAGGACGTGAGTGACCTGGAGAGGGGCTGGGAGGTAAGGTGAACTACAACTAGCAACAGGGAGGGAAGAGGGCTAACGAGGGAAAGGCAGGCCAGGAGCTGAGGAGGATGAGGTGGTATCTGAAGACGTGGAGACGAAAAGACAAGGGTTTTAAAAGTCTCCTCTCCCATTCCCCCACCAGGGTGTGCCCTTGTCCCTTCCCTCCAGCCCTGTGCTGATCCTCCCCGAGATAGGGCCTCAGGACCAGGGAACCTACAGGTGTGTGGCCACCCATCCCAGCCACCCGCCCCAGGAAAGCCGTGCTGTCAGCATCAGCATCATTGGTGAGAACTCTCCCCAAGCTCTAGGGACCCTGGGGCTAGGGTGAGGGACAGCACAGGCTCTAATTTCCTGCCCCATTCTGGCCTTATCCCCAAGAGCCACCCCACTTCTCCCTCCGTGTCACCCACACTCAGGCCTCCCCTGCCCCACCCAAATTCTTCCAAGAGAGCAGCCAAGCCTCTCCCTTCTTTCCTCTGAACTAAAGAAAGGGAAAGACTTGGCCAGGTGTAGTGGCTCACACCTGTAATCCTAGTATTTCGGGAGGCCGAGGCAGGCAGATCACCTGAGGTCAGGAGTTCAAGACCAGCCTGGCCAACATGATGAAACCTCATCTCTACCAAAACTACAAAAATTAGCTGGGCATGTTGGTGGATGCCTGTAATCCCAGCTACTCGGGAGGCTAAGGCAAGAGAACCACTTGGAGTTTGTAGTGAGTTGAAATTGTGCCACTGCATTCCAACCTGGGCAACAAGAGTGAACCTGTCTCAAAAATAAACAAAAAATGAAAGAGAAAGACTCCACCGGGGCTCCCACTAAATAACCCTCTCTCTGACTGGATCTAACTTTGTCTTCCAGAACCAGGCGAGGAGGGGCCAACTGCAGGTGAGGGGTTCAATCAAGTCAAGGAAGCAGAAGATAGCCCCAACACATGTGACTGAGGGGATGGTCAACAAGAAAGGAATGGTGAGTGGTGGGGGCTGTGCTCTCAATTTTCCCCCTCTCTCTACAGGCTCTGTGAGAGGATCAGGGCTGGGAACTCTAGCCCTGGTCCTGGGGATCCTGGGAGGCCTGGCGACAGCCGCCCTGCTCATTGGGGTCATCTTGTGGCAAAGGCGGAGGAGACGCCGAGGAGAGGAGAGGTGAGTGGAGAAAGCTAGACCCCTCAGACCTAGGGCTTCCAGGCAGCAAGCGAAGGGGTTTGGGGGGTGGAATGATAACGTGCAGCATTCTCCCCAATATTCCTCCTCAGGAAGGCCCCAGAAAACCAGGAGGAAGAGGAGGAGCATGCAGAGCTGAATCAGTCGGAGGAACATGAAGCAAGCGAGAGTGGTACTGGAGGGCCTTGAGGGGTCCACAGACAGGTCCCATCCATCAGCTCCCTTTTGTTTTTCCCTGGAACGGTTCTGGCCCCAGACCACACTCCTGTATTATCTCTCCTGTATAACCCCACCTTGCCTAACTTTCTTCTACAACCAGAGCCCCCCACAGTGATGAGTAAACACCTGACATATCTTGCCCTTGTGTGTCTGTGTATGTGTATGTGAGACACAACCTCACCCCTACACCCTTGAGGGCCCTGAAGGAAAGGGACTCACCCCCACACTTCCCCATACTATACCAAACATCTACTCAAACTAGGGAGGAGATGCTTCTGTTGCGGGAGGGAAGGAGGAAGGGAGGGAGGGATGGAGGGAGGAAGGGAGAACTTGGGAAGAGATCCCATCAATACATTTCACCTTTTTTATTGAATTTGTATTAAAGGAGGTAGTGAGGAAGAGGAAGCACTTAAGAGTCAGAATCCATATTAGACTCTGGGGAGTGAAAAATTAAATCAGTAAGATGGGGAGTGGGGGAGAGTCAGAGGGAGCCTTGCCCACCTTTCAAGATCAAATCAAGAAATCAGGGAAAGCAGACTCAGAAGAGGAGAAAGACATTCTCTCAGTCCATCCTCCTCCCCGAGGGCAGAGAATTACAATATTACTGAGTGAACCTCTGAGCAGAAGACTCTCCCATCCTATGTCGAGACGTCCCTATGCCGTCCTGCAGAATGGCCAGGGCCTTAGCCAACAGAAATAGAGGGGTCAGGGGGATCCAGGAGTAAGGAAGGGTCAGCAGTGACCCCCAATACTGATTTTCCTCTGGCTGGAGGTGGGCAGGAAGGAGTCATAGCTCAAATACTGAGCAGCCAAAAAAAGAAGAAGATGGCAAGAAACAGGAAGAGGGAATCCTGCCAGCTGGAGGCCGGGTGACCCTGTCCCAGATCCACACCTGTGGGAGAAAGGAAAGCTGTGGAAGCATATGCTCCTAGGCTGGGAGGGGGCCTGAGGGGACTGACAGGGCTCCCTGATGGGAGCTGAGTGTGACTCTTACCTGTACCCCGGCGGAAAGGCTCATGGGTATTGAAGACAGTGGTGAAAAAGCCAAAGGGAAAAGCACCAACACCAAATGAGAAGTGGAAGCCCCCGGTATCACCAAATGGCTGGAATCCCTAGGGAGGTGGAAAAAGTCAGAGGGGAAGCAGGCAAATTTGTCAAGGAAGAGACACAACTGGACAAGAAGACTCACCCCTCTGCTCTCTGGAGCTGGTCTCTGGCCCTGGGGACGGGGTGGAGTTTTTAATCTGAGGAAGAGGAGAGAGGAGATTAACAAGGGAATTTTCTCCTCTCCTCTTCCACACCGTTTACCAAGGGCAAAAACCTTCAATCTTCCCTAAGCAACACCTCCAGTCTCTCACCTGGGATCCTGGGGCTTCTGGCTCCCTCGCCCATAAAGCGGGACAACCTTCTCTCTGCTGATCCCAGCTTTACACACTGGACACTCTTGCCGCTCTGGACGTGTCTCCAGCCACTGGGGAGAAAAAAAGTGGTTTCCAGTATACAAGAGGGTCTTCCAGCTCCTCAGACCTCCCCATGTCCCTCTTCATATCCTGAGTACCCACCTGATGAAGACATGGCCAACTGGATGGGGGAAAAAAAAAAGGTTAAACTAGCTACAGAAAAGAGAGACACAGACCCCAGATTTTGCGTAACCAACTCTCACCACTCTTCCCAGGCATTACATGCTGTTGCTTTTCAGATTTTCTGCAACCTCTACCATGCCAGCCAACTTGGCCTTCCTGCTAGTCTGATCTTCCAACACCTAAAGCTCTGTCCATCCTCAACAACACTCAACCTCTCTTTTCTCCTCTCCCCAACAAACACACACAAATTTTCGTACCCTCTCTTTTCTGCCTTTCAAGTTAATTTCTAATTCCCTTCAGCCAACTCTTTCCAGGTCTCCTTTTTTCCACCCCAACCCCAACACTCCAAACCAAACTCTTTACTAGCACATTCCCCCATTACTCCTTTTCCTCACTTTCAAGCTCAATAATGTCCCTATCTTTACAACCCTTTAACCTCTCAAGTCTGCCCCTCCACAGGGCCCTTGTCCCCAGGTTTGTTATACCAGCCCCCTCCCACATCTCATCTGAATGTGATCCATATTCCCTGGTTCCCCCCAACTCAATTGATACGTGCCTCCCCTAACCTTTGCGTCTCATCTGTTTCCTCCTGCACACCTAAGAACCCTCAGTTCTCTGGGGTAAGGTGGCTCGGGTCTCTTACTGTCCCGCCACTCCCCGCTCCACCTCCTCTTTTCAGCACATCAGATGCCTCAGGCTCCTGGTTCCTAAGACCTTCCTTTCCACAGATCTCGACCGTACAGACGTTAGCCTCCCACCCACAACATACCAGCAAAGTCGTAGGTCTGTCTCCTGTCGGGCGTCACCTATGGGACCTGCCCTCCGATTATCTGCATGACTGTATGATTCCTCGCTCCTAGCCTCCCCAGTATATAAGTGATATCCACCGCCTTCCGCACCGCCCCCCCCCTCGCCCCCCGGTCGATTCTCACCAGTACAGGTGGCCACACACACTGACCACTGCTTCCCGGGCAGTCTCCAAACATATATTACATTCGAAGGTCGCGCCCGCCCCGCCCCGCTCGCGATTTGGCCCTTCGGGGCCCCCGTCCTCCTCCTCCGCTGCTGCCATTGCCGGTTTTGTTTCGCCCCACGTACCCTTCAGTCCCCCCAAATACACAAACACACGCCCCAACAAACCAGAAACCACCTCCTGCCCACGATCGTTGGGCAGGCTTCAAGGTTCCCTATCACTATTGGTACAAGTGCCTGCCAGTCACGAAGAATTCAAAAGAAAGGATTGGCCCAAAGAGTAGGGCGGGAAAAGGTTAGTGCGGTCCTGCCTTCGCCCAATGGCTATTGGCTGATTCCGTCGAAGTCAATGTGCAGTGCGAAAGGATTGGTAATGACTCGCTACACCTTGTCGCCAGGCCAGGGAGGGCTTTATTCGTCTAAGTAGTTGCCAGTCATAACCAAAGCCAGAAGCAATTTGCTTGGGACTACCTATAGACCTCACCCACTATCAGCCCCTATCTTTCCTTCGCTTTCTCTTTTAGAGAATGTCCGGATTCCTGTTGGACTTTGGAGCGTATGACTCCAAAGCAACTCATTGGCTAGAACTTGACAAAAAATGACGGTTTAAGTAAAATGCGCCGGCGCAGCACGCGGCGAGACGGTGGTGGGCCAGTCTTGTGAGGGTTGAACCTTCTTTTGTCCCACCCCTTCACCCTTATCTGTCGCCATGGTGACTGCTCTACAATTGGCTAGGTTCGCAGTTCCAAGTCCTCGGCTCGTTTCATCCGGGTCCTTCAGCTGTGGACTTTCTGCTGATTGGACCTTTTCCTTCGCCCCTGATTGGCCGGCATTGGGAAAGAAGGCGAAGAGCTAGGGAAAGAGGGACACGCTAGGGTCGCAGGGTTCAAAATGGCTTCAGCTTTCTTGGGTGACGTAGTGAGCAGAGCTTGGGTCTGCCTTTTAGTGAAAGGAGTCGAACTGGGATACGCCCGACGTTTGGATAGTGCGAACATCGATCTGCGGCGCTGGTGTTAACCCAACTCATTCGGCTGGACGACTCAGCCCTCCCCACTTTAGGTGATTTACAGAGAAAACTAAAGACCCACTCGTTTCGTAATGTGGCACACAGAATAGAACAGGATTGACTTCAACTCTTTTAAACCTTCAGAGCAGAAAAGCTCTGGCCTCACCCCCTTTGTGAGTGGTGCAGAAGGGGCAAGGCCCGCCCCTTTTAGGGAGACCGCGGGGGTTAGACCCGCCCCTTCCTCCTTATAATTTGCCCAGCAGAAATAAAGTCTTCTAATAGGGCTGGACCCCTGGGAGTTTGGGTCTTTCCTATAATCACTGACCCTCACTGTGGCCTAAGGAGCAGAACTAGGTAACAGCACTCCCACTACCAGTCCTCTTCCCGAGGGCATGTAACTCACGAAGGGTAAAGGTGTGGCTAGAGGCGGGACCTTGATAAAAGTGTGACTCAAGAGTAAGGAAAGGTGAGAAGTTAGTTGCGTAAAGGACTGGGGCAAGTGGAAACAAGGGTTAGGAAGGAGGATATTGGGAGGGAAAGGTGGAAATGAAGAGTGAAATGATGGAATGATCCTAGTAAAGGGATAATGGGAGTGGAGGAAGAGAAAAGGGGGTGGAAAACTAGATACATGGCTACCGAGGAATCGTCATTCTTCCTCACTTTTTTTTTTTTTCTAGAAAGCAGCCCTAAAGTCCAATTTCCATTGGAAGAAAAGATGTACTCATATTGTATGTTGTAAGAAGGGGCTATCTGCGCTTGGGCAAGTAAGGACTGATAGGAAGGAAGTAGGAAAGAAAAAGTACAGAGGTAAAAGAGCATGGAAAGGGTAACGGATAAGGCCAAAGAGATCTCTTTAAAGGTCAGGGAGGGTAGGTGGGGAGATGGACTGCTGGGAGATAGCGGGGGACAAAGGGCAAAGAAACCAGACCAGAGGACTGGAGACTGAGGTGAGGTGAGATGGAGCCCTGAAGAGAAAAAAAAGAGAGGTGAACTTAATGCTTGGCAATGGTAGGGAGGTGCTTGATAAATATTTAGAATTGAATGGGGGGGGACGGGAAAAGGGGTCCTTGAGAATAAGCAGCAGATAGCCGGAGTTGAGAAAAAAAGAGACCAAGTAAAAGTGGCAGTAAAAAGAGAGCTGAAGGAGAATAAAGGAAGAAATGTGCCGAAGGAGGAATACAGCACCAAGGGATCCAGAGCTGAAAGGGGGTTAGAGAAAAAAAGATGCAGCTGGAGCCAGAAAAGAGCCCAGACAGAGGCAAAGCCCAGCTAAGCAGTCCTGGGGCGGGGCTCGCAAGAGGATATTGGTGGTAGAGGTGGGGAGGAGGGGCCTGAGTTTCTGGGAAACGATTGGCAAAACGGGCTGCCCGTCACCGCCCTCCACTTCCTGGCCGGCCCCGGAAACCAGCGGGCGTTGGGGAGGGGTGGGGGGGAATAGCGGCAGCAGCAGCCCCAGCCCTCAGAGACAGCAGAAAGGGAGGGAGGGAGGGAGGGTGCTGGGGGGACAACCCCCCACCATTCCTACCGCTATGGGCCCAACCTCCCATTCCCACCTCCCCTACATCGGCCGGGGCTAGGACACCCCCAAATCCCGTCGCCCCCTTGGCACCGACACCCCGACAGAGACAGAGACACAGCCATCCGCCACCACCGCTGCCGCAGCCTGGCTGGGGAGGGGGCCAGCCCCCCAGGCCCCCCACCCCACTGAGGTGTGGGCGGGAAAGGGATGGGAGGAGGAGGGAGGAGGGTGCTGAAAGGGACTAGGATGAGGGAAAGGGGAGAGATTGGGTCTGGGAGGGCCGACTCGGGGAGAGGGTTGCTGGGGAAAGGAGAGGGGCCGCTTGGGAAGAGGGTTGCTGGGGAAAGGAGAGGGGACCTGAGAGGGAGGAAGGATGGAAGAGACACGGGAGGGAGGAGAAATGGAAACCCTTGTGAATTTGGGACTGGGAGTGTGCACAGGGAATCCTGGAGTGGGAATTCTCTACACCTTTCTCAATACCTTTTCTTGCCCTTTGACCCCACATGGGGTCATGACTCTTGAGGGGTCAAGAGGGGAGAAGGCCAGCAGAATTTGCCTCTTAAAAATACCCCTAGGCGCCTCTGTTTCCATCTAGGCACAGGACCTCTTGTTTCTCAGTGGCCTTCCACACTGCTAGACCCTTACTGACACACAAATGCCTTATGGGAGCCATGTTTTCTACATTGAGTCTGTGTGTCTTTGACATGTTCAATGGCTTGTGTGCAACTAGGTTGTCCCTATGCTATCCATAGGCTGTGTAGAAATTATATGTTATTTTCTATCAGAATTGCCCATTCTCCATTCTTGTGTCCATGTCTCACATCCAGTTTTGACATGTTCAAGTACCACATGAGTGTGTTTTCATGCATCACACCTGATCTATGGTTTCATGTTACTTGCACTTTTTATGTTTTTGCATGTTTATTTCAGCATGTGAAGGTTATAGACCTTACTTTGCTTTGGCTGACATGTCCATGGTCCTACCATATTCACTAGTCTTCATATGTAGGATCCCATGGCTTGGCTGAATAGCCCACACTCTCATGTTTGATTGAATTGGCCTGTTTGCTATGTTTTCCCAGTCACGGTTCACATCACATATGTGCATGCCCCTTTGCATGATACACTCATGTAACAGGACCATAGAATGTGTGTTATAAATTTATCATCAGTATCTTTTGTGAGCCATACGCTCATTAAATTTGGCCCTCCATTGCATTTCTAAATCCTTGGACTTTTGTTCTCCAAAGAAGGTCACTTAATATCAAGTGTTAGAGAAGAAGGTAACTGGGTCTCCAGGTCTGCAAAGAACTATCCCTGCATTCCTTACCTCAGTGACCTTCCTCGCCTGGGCCTCTCTACACAAACATTATCTTTCCGGTGGCTGTGTATAGTCTGTGTCCACGAGCTCCGTGCATGTCACAGGGTTAACCCTGCTGTGAACCCCATCGTTGGTATTTATTTATGGACATTATCCTCCATTCTCTGCACTATTGGCACATTTGATGAGAGCAGCATCTTTCCCTGTGGCATGTTGATCCCATTCTGTACATTTCTTTTGTGAGATGACCTCTTCCTGATTATTATCACTCTGCCTTCATTATGGCCATGTGTGACCATTATGCTTAGTGTGTTCGTTACTTTCTCAGCGACTTCTAGTAGTCAGTACTACTCAGGAGGGTAACTCTCTGATTTTGATCAGAACCGCCATCTCATTAATTGTAGGTCTGTGGGTGTGTATGCAGCCTTAAAGTCTGTTCAGCAAGTGTTTATTGACCATCTACTCTATCTCCTATTGTCTTGGCATCGGAGATAAGACAGAGTCCCTGTCCTTAAGCTGCTTACAGCCTAAGGAGGGAAACAAAGTCAGCATACAGTGTGTTGTCAAGATCAGTGGCTCTTAAATTCAAGCACACATCAGACTTACCAGAGGGCTTGTTAAAATACAGATTGCTAGCCAGCCATGATGGCTTATACCTGTAATCCCAACACTTCAGAAGGCCGAGGCTGGAGGATCACTTGAGGCCAGGAGTTCAAGACCAACCTGAGTGACAGAGTGAGAAAAAGAAAAATAGATTGGTGGGTCTAATGCCTGTAATTTCTGATTCAGTGGATCCAGGGTGAAATCTAATAATTTGCATTTCTACACTTCAAGACCCACTGATCAAAATAAAAGTGTAATGAAAGCACAAGCCTGCAGGGTTTCAGGAAGACCTCCAAAAGATGACACTGAACTGTGAGAGGCAGGAGAAGAGGTGGGCATTCCAGCCAAAGGGAACAGTATGTTCAAGGTGCAGAAGCATTAAAGATCATGGTGTCTGAGGAACTGAGGTGAATCAGTTTGACTAAAACAAAAAGAAAAAGTTTTGTGAGGATGTGGTCGAAGATGTAAGCAGAAGTCGACTTGTCAAGAAGAACCTTTAGGCAAGACAGGGAAATGCTCTGTGTTTCAGAAAACTTTGTGTTAACAGAAAAAACTTTGTGTTAAGATTTTTTTTCTGTGTTAACAGAAAAATCTCTGTGGTTGCTACGTGGAAGATGGATTGGAGGGAGTTAGGATCCTACTGCACATAATTCGGGGGAGAAATGATGCTGTTCTGAACTTGTAGGGGCAGTGGGATGGAGCAGCTCAGAAAGCCTACAGTATTCCAGCTGGCAGGGTCTCCTGTTTCCTCTATTGCCTGTTACCTTCTCACTTGGCAATGGGCTTACCTTTGAGCACAGCCCTTCCCATCATGGGAAGAGAGTGCCTGTCGCCTCAGTAGACATGACAGGTATTTGCCTGAACACCCTTTTTGTGAAATGTTACCCTGCCCCCAACAGTGGGGCAGAGTGGAGGAAGAAGGAAGAACCTAGAACACAGGTTCTGTGTTCCTGCCCCTCTTCCTCTTGAGCCGTTTCCTCTGCCAGGGCAGGTGCTGTGATGTCCCCTTTACTCCCTGCCCTCCTTTTTTCACTTGGTGAGACCTTACACATTGTACCTGCCCACGCAAAGTGTCACTAGAAGGAAGGAAAAGGGTAGTAGGATTTGTTTTCCTGTCTGGAGGTAGGATTGGTCTTGTAGCTATTCCAGGTATGTCCATGAGTTTACCTAGGAATGGGGCAGCTGCCTGGGTGGAGAGGGATTTTTCTAGTTATACATTTACATTCCTTTATCTGTCACTGGGTGTAATTATAAATTTGTGTCTGTGTGTGAACATGTTAATCTTTGTATGACTCTGTGTTGGCATTAGTGACACGAACCTTTAATCTTGCCATTTGGCCCCTGGGTATATGGCTGTGTGCTTTGTCACTATCGCCATATCTGCTATGTGCTGTGTTGGTATATGGACGTGCAGTACCTATCGGTGTCAGCGTAACCAAGTAGTTAGGAACACAGGCAGCTTAGATTTAACCTAAAAACTGCTGTTTAGGAGCTGTATGACCTCAGGTAAGTTATTTAGCCTCTCTGGGCCTATTAACTATAAAATGTAAATAATAATACTTTCAAGACTATTGTATTGATTATTGATTATTTTAAGAGTTTAACTTAATGTATAAACCAGTGCTATTCTACAGAAATGTAATGCAAGCCACATGTGTATTTTTTTTCTGGTAGCCACATTTTTAAAAGGCAAAAAGTGAAATTAATTTTAATAATATATTTTCTGGAATCTGATACATCCAAAAGATTATAAAAATGTAGTCGGTATAAAAGATTAATAATGGGATATCTTACATTTGGTTTTTTATGTATTTTCTGTCTTTGAAATCTGATGTGCATTTTACATTCCCAGCACATCTCAGTTCAGACTAGCTGCATTTCGAGTGCTCAGTAGCCACATATAGGTGGTGGCTACCTTCTTGGGCAGCACAAGTATAGACCATTATAAGACCTTACCAGCTACAAGCGTTAGCTATCATTCTTTTTTTATTTTTTGAGGTGGAGTTTCTCTCTTGTTGCCCAAGCTGGAGTGTAATGGCATGATCTTGGCTCACTGCAACCTCTGCCTCCCAGGTTCAAGCAATTCTCTTGCCTCAACCTCCCTAGTAGCTGGGATTACAGGCACATGCCACCACACCCAGCTAATTTTTTGTAGTTTTAGTAGAAACGGGGTTTCACCATGTTGGCCAGGCTGTTCTCAAACTCTAGACCTCAGGTGATCCACCTGCCTTGACCTCCCAAAGTGCTGGGATTATAGGTGTGAGCCACTGCGCCCAGCCAAGCTATCATTCTCATTGTCATTTATTATCAGATATCTGTGAGTTGTAGATGTCCATGTCTTGTGCCTCTTGTCTGAATACATAAGGAGCTTTTGGGAAGAGGGGTGGGAGAGCATTCCTGAGTTCCCTGTCTACCACCCTCATCGTAGAGAGCTTACTGGGAAGGTTTCAGTGGAACTCTGCCCCAGGCTGTGTCTCTGGCCCTTTTCCTCATGGCACCAACCCCCAACCCTGCTAATGTGCCTTGCCTATCCCACTCTCCTCCATAAACCAGGCTGATTGTCCCCTGCCCCGTCCCCTGCAGGTGGCCAGAATGGAGTTGTGGCCAGGGGTATGGATGCTACTGCTCTTCCTGCTGTTGCTCTTCCTGCTGCCCACCCTGTGGTTCTGCAGCCCCAGTGCCAAGTACTTCTTCAAGATGGCCTTCTACAATGGCTGGATCCTCTTCCTGGCTGTGCTCGCCATCCCTGTGTGTGCCGTGCGAGGACGCAACGTCGAGAACATGAAGTGAGAGAGAGGCAAGGGGTGTTGGGATGAGGGAACCTAAGGGTATAAAGTGAGTAGTGGAGTGGGGGAAGGGGGCGCGGTGTGTGTAGAAGAGACTAAGAGACCAGAAGACTGCAAAGGTGGTCAGAATGGGGAGAGGACTGCAAAGATGGTCAGAAAGACAGTAGGGTGGGGGGAGCTGAGGCATGCAGATGGACATCAATGGATCCCACTGGGACCCCTTGCCATGACCCCACAGGATCTTGCGTCTAATGCTGCTCCACATCAAATACCTGTACGGGATCCGAGTGGAGGTGCGAGGGGCTCACCACTTCCCTCCCTCGCAGCCCTATGTTGTTGTCTCCAACCACCAGAGCTCTCTCGACCTGCTTGGTGAGATCCCACCACAGGGCACACCTCCCCCAGCCATACCTCCCCTGCTGGAACCTTCCCTAGAATCTCCTAGAGATCCTCAATTCCCCTTCCACTGGGACATTGCCCCCTTGCCTCCCTCTCAGGCCTTCATTCCCTGGGATTGAACTGCTCTCATAAGCAGGGTACATATACCTTTGGTCACCCTTTCCTTCACTTGGGGCTCACCCTGCCTCGTCTCCTTCATCTCCAGTCCCTACCAGAGTGGGTGATGATCTGGGTGAGGTGGGTTGCCTTCTGTGACACTCTGCCTCCACCCTGATCCTCATCCACCCCCACCCTGCCCAAGGGATGATGGAAGTACTGCCAGGCCGCTGTGTGCCCATTGCCAAGCGTGAGCTACTGTGGGCTGGCTCTGCTGGGCTGGCCTGCTGGTTGGCAGGAGTCATCTTCATCGACCGGAAGCGCACGGGGGATGCCATCAGTGTCATGTCTGAGGTCGCCCAGACCCTGCTCACCCAGGACGTGAGTCATCCTGGGGAAATGGGGGATTGGAGGGATAGAGAGTAGAAGAGTTGTAAATAAACTGATATGCAGGGCCAGTGGGCCTCAGGGGTCCCATTATAACATCACACCTACTCTGACTCCTCCATATGTATTTGTCTTCCTTGACCCTCTTTCTCCCCCAGGTGAGGGTCTGGGTATTTCCTGAGGGAACAAGAAACCACAACGGCTCCATGCTGCCCTTCAAACGTGGCGCCTTCCATCTTGCAGTGCAGGCCCAGGTGATTACTGCTGTCCCTTCTGCTACTCAGCCGCCAACCCCCACCATTCCCTCATCTCTGGGAAGGGGCTTATTGTAGGAGTCTCAGAAGAGAGCTGTGAACTGATCTGCTTTACCTCTTCCCCAGGTTCCCATTGTCCCCATAGTCATGTCCTCCTACCAAGACTTCTACTGCAAGAAGGAGCGCCGCTTCACCTCAGGTGAGGGCTTTGAGCAGGTCTGGGATAGGGTGTGTCCAGAGAGGCTGGGAGGACATCCCTGTGAGGCAGGGGGATCACTCAGTGTCAGAGCCATGAGATGTCCACACATCTGGGGTCACCTAGCCTGACCCCAGATCAGCCAATAAGTCTTTACCAAGCATGACCATACCCTGCCAGATAGGTAGCACTTGGTCCCAAGAGAGGCTGTTGCTAATCTAGCAGGAAAGGTAAGTCCTGTGTGCACAAATGAATAATACTCATTCAGCAGTAAATGCTAAGCCCAGATGAGGGGCTGGAGGGGTGCTGAGGAGATGTCTGGACTGGGGATTGAAGAAGACTTTGTACAGGAGAGCCTCAGAAAACTGGCGGCAGCTGACAGGCCCAGGGATGGTTGTCCAGGGTTGGGGGAAAAGAACTGAAAGGTTGAGGAAGAGAGTATCGCTCAGAAGCTGGGCCCCCCTGTGGGCAAAGACCTGGGTGGACAGGCCATGATGGTGCTCCCCTTGCCCCAGGACGATGTCAGGTGCGGGTGCTGCCCCCAGTGCCCACAGAAGGGCTGACACCAGATGACGTCCCAGCTCTGGCTGACAGAGTCCGGCACTCCATGCTCACTGTTTTCCGCGAAATCTCCACTGATGGCCGGGGTGGTGGTGACTATCTGAAGAAGCCTGGGGGTGTGGGTGAACCCCAGCTCTGAGCTCTCCTCCCATCTGTCCCCATCTTCTTACCCACGCCTACCTACCCAGTGGGCCCTGAAGCAGGGCCAAGCCCTCTTCCTTGTCTCCCCTCTCCCCACTTATTCTCCTCTTTGGAATCTTCAACTTCTGAAGCGAATGTGGATACAGTGCCACTCTTGCCTCCTCTTGGCCCCACCCATGGACTCTTGCCTCAGTGCAGTCTACACTCTGACCCCCACCTCCTGCCATCTTCTCTGTGGCACAGTTACCTCCCCCTCATCTCCAGTGGCTCAGCCTACACAAGGGTGGGGAACATTCCATCTCCAGTGGAGTCTCTTCCTTTGTGGTCTTCTCTTCCTTTCCACCCCACATTTGCCAGTGGACTCATCCATTCTGTGGAACAATTCTCCCCCACTCCAAAGTCCATGGATTCAATGGAAACATCCGTTTGTGAGGAGGACTTCTCGCCCTGTGACTAGAAGCTGTTACCTGGAACACTCCTCCCAGGCTCAACCTGGGAGCTTTCCTCAGCACCTTCACCTTCCCTCCCAGTGGAGCCTCCTGTCAGTGGGGGCTGAACTCTTCTAATTCAGAGGTCTCATGCCTGCCCTTGCCCAGATGCCCAGGGTCATGCACACTCCAGGATACCAGTTCGGTCTCCACATTTCTGCTTTTCTCTATCCCCATGGTACCATTCTTCAGTGGTCCTAACCCCATCCAACCCCCTGCAGCCCTGCTGCACCAGACACAAGGGGAAGAAGCAGACATCAGGTGCTGTGCTCACTTCTGCTCCCTGGGGAGTTGGGGAAAGGAACTGAACCCTGGCTGGAGGGGCTAGGAGGGCTTTTAATTTATTTCTTTTTCTGTTGAGGCTTCCCCCTCTCTGAGCCAGTTTTCATTTCTTCCCAGTGGCATTAACCACTCCCTGCCTCTCACTCCAGACCTGTTCCCACAACTGGGGAGGTAGGCTGGGAGCAAAAGGAGAGGGTGGGACCCAGTTTTGCGTGGATGGTTTTTATTATCTGGATAACAGCAAAAAACTGAAAATAAAGAGAGAGAGAGATCTGGTGCTTGGTGGTTACATTTGTTAAGGAATTGAAGAAGCAGTTCTTGCCCAGGCAATCTGTCCCCAGCCAGGAGACTCGGGGGTGGGCCAAGAACACCGGCCTCCACCTTCCTTCAGCTCTCTGAAGTTTCCATTGCTCATTGCTCTTTGGTGGCTGATAGCCTTATCTGCAGCTCATAGTCGGCCAAGCCCAGAGGATTTGTGAGTCCAGTTTCTGTATAAATTAGGGGGCAGGGGGTGCCTGTAGAGGCTCCTTATCGATGATTGAGGCCAGGGCCCAGGCTGTTGTCCTCACAGGAGCCTGGTTAATGACATGACGGACACTGGCTGTGGTCAGCCTGGAGTGGACTACACTGCCACTCTCACCAAACATTAAAATGGAACTATTGGGCTGGAGACAGGATTTCAGAAGAGAAGGATGGGGATGTGGAGAGATCCTGGGAAGGTATGATAGTGAATGTTGGAGAGGGGGCATGGAGAAAAGAGGGCATGCTTGAGTGGGAGGGGTCTTGGGGAAAGTTGGGGAATATAGGTCAAGGAGGGGAGGAGCATGAGAACTCACAGGCACCCAGCCTCTCCTCCAGCAGCAGCACCTGGTCGCTGAGAGATTCGATCCGGTCACCCCGGCCCCATAGCTCAGCCACCTGTTCTGGCTGCAGCTCTTCAGGCGGCACGGGCAGCACCGCTCGGACCCAGGCCCCAGCCTGACCGGCCCACTACAAAGCAAGAGTTGCCTCAGGGTATTGGTAGTGAGGTCTGGCCTCGCCCCATCCCGCAGGTTTGGCTCACCTGCTCCAGCCGCTCCAGGCGCTCTCGCAGCTCACGAATCTCCCGCTTCAGAGAGCGCTCGTCGTTTTCCGCCTCCCGAACTAGGAACAAAGGAGACCAAGAGCGTGACCGCTGCCCGAGCCCGGCCGCCTGTCCCGGGTCGCCACAGTGGCCCATACTCCTGCCCGCTCACCGGCCACGCTGAGTATGCTGGCACTGGTTGGGGGCTCTGGGGACCCCTCCTTGCAGGTGCGCCCGTCCGGCCCTAGCACTAGGTCGTGGGGGCAGCCGCAGGTGAAGCTGCCGGCCGTGTTAAGACAACGGTGCGAGCAGAGGGTGACACTGGTCCTACATTCATCCACGTCTAGTTACCGAAAAGAGGAAGGGGCTGAGAGAGGGGGCGGGGGCAAGCGCCTGGGTAGATGGGGAGGTCAGGGAGCCCTCGCTGGGGGAAGGCTGAGCCGACTCACCCACATGACAGTGCTTCCCTCCCCAGCCGGGGGCGCACTCGCACCGGTCGGGCCGAATGCAGACGCCTCCGTTCAGGCAAGGCTTGGAGCAGATGGCTGTGGACAGAGGAAGTGGGGTTCAGACTCGAACCGATAGCCCCCAGCTCCGGGGAGCGCGCCTCCCGCAGGGCCTGGAAGACCCAGTCTCACCTTCACAGGTGAGCGCCCCCGGGTGCCGCTTCTTCCAGCCCTGGCAGCACACTGTATGGGTCTGCTGCACCTCCCGCCTCACTTCCCGCCACATAACGCGGTAGGTGGTCCTGGAACACAGCGTCCGGCTCAGGAACCGGTCCTGGTCGCGGTTCTTGGGGACCCATCTCCCCATCCCTCACCTGTAAGTGCTGCAGATGCGCCTTCCAGCACACAAGGTCAGGTAGGGCTTGTACACTGGTTGGCTGTAGGACTCGTTGTAGCGGAGCGGGACCACCACTGTTTGCTTGGAGCAGACTCCCGGACTGCGTCCATGACAGAGGATGAGGTGGGAGAGATTGAGTAGGCCAGGCCCTGGGGGAGTCCCAAGGGGCTACTGAGGCCCCGCTCTCCCTCCAGATGACAGCCTCTCACCTCCCTTCTAAACCTTCAGTTCTGTTTTGCCTGTGAAGTCCCACCCCCAACAGAAGGCTCCCGAGAAGAGGTCACCCCAGGCCCCACCCCCACTGTTGTCACCTCTCTCTGAGAGATCCACCCTTGGCCCCCTTGACTGACATCAGTAGCAGGAGGAATGAGATTCCGCCTAACAGAGTGCACAGCTCAGCCCTGGACCCCATGATTCTCTTTGACTCTGGACCTTTGGGCTGCAGGAAAGAAAACGTTAATGGATGCCCATCCCCTCTCCTATTAATTTCTCCAGCACTAGCCCTCCAAGGGCACTCTGCTGGTGCCCTCTAAGGGAGTCAGGACATTCACTTTTACATACTAGCCACCAGGATTGCCTACACCTGTGTGTACAACCAACACTATCCTATCCTTAGCGTATCATGATCCATTCGGCATCATAAAACATACCCCAGCACACCCCATCCACCTCCCCTCTAACCTATTTACTTCTAATCCCCTCTGCATAATCTGGAGGGACAGTCAACCCTCCCCTTATGGCACTCCTGTCTTTAACATGCTCTCATAACTTCATACCTTCAAAACGCTACCTATACACCCTCACACCATACACACAAACCAAGCACCTGGAAACCACACCTTACACACACTGCTACTCCCTCACACACCATCACATACACCCTAAATACATATCCCTTCCTCCAACAAAACACCCCTCAACTCATGCCCCCCTAAGTCTCTGAGTAAACCCCACTCTTTCCCCATTGAAAATATCTCCCCACCTGCCCTTCCTCTCTCTCCATTCCCACCTGGCTGCTTTCTCCTAGGAGGCTTCAGGCAGAGCCGCCTCAGCAGAAGCAGCTCAGACTGGTGGGTAGGCCTGGCGGGCTAAGAAGGAGAGGAGGGGCTGGGCCAGAGTCCTCCCATTCCTGCCCCCTCCCACAAGCCTCCTCCTCAGCTCCAGCCGGGTCAGCTTAGTAGGGTCAAGTCCCTCTACCCTCATCTCCAACCCAACAAAGAGCTCCCTACAAGTGTCTTTCCAACCCTGTGAGGCCCCTGTTTCTGGACTCCCCAAATCAGAAGATACAAGCTCTGTAACACCACCTGTACCCCCTTTAACACTACACAGACTAGGGGAGAGTTAGGGGGCAGGGAGAGAAACAGCTGCAGGGAACAAAGCAGGTCAGGTCATGGGAGAAGCAAGATCAGCTGAGGAAAGATAGAAGGGCAAGTCGTCACAAAGGGGCAGGAGGGCAGCCCAGGGCACCAAGGGGGAAACTGTCCCCCCTCTCTTGATGACATTTGTTAGAACTTAGGGGGAACAAAATTGAGTCAGCCACCACCCCCCATGCCAGAGCAGACAGGGCCCTATTGTCTCAGCCAAAATTTCTTCTTTCAAGAAGAGAAGGCTCATTGTCCAGCCCTACACCCAGCTCTGGCCCACAAAGCTCAAAAGGGGCACAACAAATGCCCACCCTGACCCTCAGCCCCCTCGTCTAGCCTGGGGGTGGCAGGCGCATTCCACCCATAAGGCTGAGGCCCAAACTGGAGCCCTGAGCTTAGCTCCCCAATCTTGGGGACTGGGAGAGGAAGAGAATTGTCTTTGGCAGGAAAGAACCTGCAGAGGATCAGGAACCCACAAAGAATGGGCATTGAGAGAGAGCGGAAACACCAAGGGGGTCCCCACCCTAGACCAGGAATCTGGGCACCCAGACCTCAGCTCTCCGCCCACACCCTCCTTAGGGAGCCAGGTCCCCTTTACCTGGAAATAAGCCAAGTCACACTGAGGAAATGGAACTTTATTATTATAAATACAGGGGTAACACCCATCCAAGGAAGTTAAAAGAGGGCCTGGGGCCTCAAAGAAGCTAGGCTCCCAGGGGTACTCCAACACTGATCATAGGGACTGGGGGATCCCCAAACCTGAGATGGGCCTCACAGGCCACAGATATTCCCCAACACTGACACTTCAGGAATGGAACTGTCCCCAGAGGGGAGCCTCAGAACCCCACTCTCATGGGTAGTCCCTTTTAGGGGTTGGGAGGGCTGATGACAGAAGACTTCAGAGAAAAAAGGGAATATGGGAAGAATAGAAGCTAAAAATGTCCTGAGTGGCCTGGAAGGAGACCCCCGTGGTAGGCAGGGGGTGGGTTCTCCTCCCGTACAGCCAAATACGGAGAAGCAGCAGCAGCAAAAGCAGCCACAAGTTAAAAACATGGTTTCTTACTTCCCAACTTCGGCCTTGAGAGATAGGGAGAGCATGGAGCAACCCCCAAAATGAGAGGACATGAGGTAGGGGAGGCCAGAACTTGTCATTCACAGAGGAGCAGAGGAGAGGGGTTCTAGGAGTCCAGGTTGGTGGGGGTAGTGTGGAGCAATGAGGTGGTCACAGGCACACCAGAGCGTGACATCTGCTTTCCAAGGCCACCAGTTGGTCTCTGGACTAGGGATTTCCTGGGGACCCCTGAATATATCCTCAGGAGAGCCAAGGTTCAATGCAGGTCTCATAAAGGGTACGATTGGAGTGCCAGGCTGTGTGGGAGATCCCAGCCATTGGACACCTCACTATGGACCCCCGGGCCAATAGAGTCTTCAGCCCAAAAGAATCTCGCAGATAAACCTTCAAGGTGGTCGAAGGGGCATGGAAGCATGGAAGAAAGACACAAGGAGAGACAAAGTGAGTTACTGCTGGCATGTAAACCTCCTCCCCACAGGGTAAACCCTTCAGCTCAGGAGTCACAGAGAGGGCTCCGGAATGAGGTAGGACAGTGGATGGAAGGGGAAATAATCCCGGGGTGGCAGGGGGCTCACCAGTTGCTCCTCCATCTCCAAGACCGTCTCATTTGCATCATAGAAACCAAAGAAGCTACAAAGAGATTTGGGGGAAGGTTATCAGGAGAGCTGGAGAAAATCTGGCTGGGCACAATGGTTCATGCCTGTAATCCCAGCACTTTGGGATTCCAGTGTGGGTGGATCACCTGAGGGCAGGAGTTCAAGACCAGCCTGGCCAACATGGTGAAACCCCATCTCTACTAAAAATATAAAAATTGGCTGGGCATGGTGGCAGCTGCCTGTAATCCCATCTACCCAAGAAGCTGGGGCAAGAATCACCTGAACCCTGGAGGCAGAGGTTGCAGTAAGCCGAGATTGCACCACTGCACTCCA